TATAGAACTCTTTACACAACACGTGAACGTTAATAAACACCAAAACATAACTTCGGCAGAACTTCCTCACTACTCTTTTTATTATCTTACTTAATTTTTCTGCATACCATCCTTTTTGGTCGTTTTTTCGTAGTCAAGACAAAAATGCTAACAGTCACTTCAACTTTAGTTACATCTATGATTCATATTAACCGAGACACAAATCTTTAAGGCTCACCTTTATTATAATTTCTGCCGAAATTACGCACGTTTTTACCGCATCAAGGATATGTTACAAGCAACGTTTCATTGTTTCCAGTCGTTGTCTAAACTTGAACTATGAAAATTGAGGTAGAAGCCAATCGCAGCCGATATTCCAATCACGCTAAAACAAACACTTTTCCCCATTTTATTTCTAAATGATGCCTAACACAGGTCTGAGCATCTCAGGGTTATCAATACATTATGTGATTTTGAGGTAATATTTTATAATACGGCCATAATTTCTAATACTATAAGAAATTATATTTTCTAATACTATTATAAATTATATTTTCTAAATGAATACTTATATAGCAATTATATTTACCTACACATACTAAGTTAACTACACTAGAATAAGAGGGTAACAAATCAGGTTTTTACAGGAGATTTTCAAGACGACATTGTTGGTCAGAAACAAAGAAATCATTATACTGTAAGTAAATTTAACTATTTTGTAATGAATGAATGAAGAAGTAGTGCATACATAATTTGAAGTGCTCCTTAAATTACAAAGGGAAGGAGACTCAAATTACACGCTAAGTACTGCGTAACTTTTTTTTTGTAATCGTTGCAGAAAAACAATATTTCCCCATCTGACACTGTAAGCACACTATAGTTTTACAGGAAAAGAGACATGCCTTTCCTTCCTATACACTACTTTTTAAAATTATGTTTGAACAGTTTTTGTGAGAAAAAAACTTCATCATTGAGCTTACATAAGCCTGCAATTATTGATGGTATTTATTTTTTCTTGCAAGTTGGTAAGGGAGAACAGTTCTCATCACATGTATTTTGGTAAAATAAAAGGATAATAGAACATCCATCATGCAACATCAACATAATGAATATTAAATAAGGATGTAAAAAGGCAAGATTAATCCACTCTATAATACGGTCCCACCATGAAAAGTACGATGGGGAATCACTGTTTGTCAAATTGCACACTGCCTAAAATTATTATTTAATAATTTCTTTGTTTCTTGTAAAATTCTGACTGATTGCCCCCATATTCCAGCCTACCAAGCTATCTGGATCCAACTATAAGTAATTTTAGGTAAATAGAATTATATTGTAATTTCAAATAAAAAACACTAAAATTCATTTTAATTACAGGTGAATGCCACCTTTAAATTGTGGGCCGTATTATATAGTGTTACCAATTTCTGAGTTCATAATTGCACAGTTCAGGAAACCAATGATGAGTTGATAAACAAGAAAAAAAATCTGGAAAAAAAACCCTGAAACGCTCTTCTGTTATGTTAGTAACAAATATAAAACAATGTACATACTAAAAGCTGTTCACAATACAAGACACTACACAAATATACAAAATGTAAAAATAAAAAAAATCCTCCAGTTTAACGCTGTCAAACAACTGCATACAGCATTTCTGTTGCACCACTACCAACAATAAGGCATCCATTAGAAAAGACAAAGAGAAAGAAAGAAAAAATAACGACAAAGCTTTCTGAGAAAAGGTGTGGCTGAACTGATGAGCTAAAGAGTATTGGTCAGGCAGTAAACAGCTGTTCAGATCCATAATCTGCAGGAGATCCTGCAGAGATGTTTTCATGGCAAAGCTGTATGTGTAATTTTGTTTTTTGGTGCCTGCAATACCCCCAACTACCAACAGAGGGCCGAAACATGAAGTGTGGACATTATTCATCTTCCAATTTAAGATAATTAAAAAAGCAGACTGCAAACAAAAATATATAACAAAGATCCGACTTTACTGGAATGGGAAGATTTCCATTCAGATACAGTACACTGGCCTTGTTTTTCACTCCATAAAGACTGCATTGTCCCATCCTCAGCCACAGTTTTAGCACACCATGATTTTTAATGTCACATTTAAAAGTTTTGGATCCAGTTAGTCACAACGCACATGTGTAACCACAGCAGACATAACCACAGAAACCAGCT